AAGGAAGGAAGGGAAGAGGAAGAGAAAGGGAAGGGAAGGGAAGGAGAGAAGAGAAGAGAAAGAAGAGAAGAGAAGAGAAGAGAAGAGAAGAGAAGAGAAGAGAAGAGAAGAGAAGAGAAGAAGAGAAGTGAACCAAGGAAAGAGAGAAGAGAAGAGAAGGGAGGAGAGAAGAAAGAGAAGAGAAGAGAAGAAGAAGGAAGAAGAAGAAAAGAAAGAGAAAGAAAGAAAAGGAAAGAAAGAAGAAAAGAAAAGAAAAGAAAGAAAAAAAGAAAAAAAAAAAGAAAAGAAGAAAGAAAAAGAAAGTGAACCAACCATTTGTTAGCTGATTTCCTACCCACCCCACTCTGGAACACGAGGCAGGAGCACAGCAGCCACAGCACCAGGGTCCACCATAATTTTAGGGGCCTATAAAAATGTTTAATCTTTGAAACAGGAGAAAAAGTTTATATAATTCTTCCCAGATTATATTCCCCTTTATACCAACACACTCATATTTTTAATTTTTTTGGAAGAACAGACCCAAGAAGGCAGAAATGCCTAGAGCCCACAAAAGTCATAATGTGGCCTTGACATGAGGGTTGGCTTCATGGCTTCTCCATCCTGACTGGGTCTTCCAGAAACCAGCTCAGCAACTAGTGCATGAAGCACCCTGTTCTGCTAACATCTTCTCAGCATTGAGAAAACGTGAAGAGGTAGGCTGGGAAACTCAGCACTACTGGATCCTAAACTTCTGGCTTATGGATCCTCAGCTGAGGACCAGGATGCTAAGGGAAGTGGCTTGAACATAATGCAAGAGGAGGAGGAGACGCCTCTCACACCCAGGATTTGTAAAGACTATGTCCAATGGCCTTCTTCCCCAAAATACCTTCCACCTCCTCCACTCCTGCCTGGAATGTGTTATTTACTCCTTTGAAATAAGACAGCATAATATGGTGAAAAGTGCACACACTTTGTTGTCAAACTCATTTGTATGACCACTGGCAAATTGCCTGGCTCCCCTGGGGCTCAGTCTTTTTTCAGAAGAATGAGTAAAAATGATAATAGTGGTGGTTAAGATAAATCTGCCCCACGTCGGTCATGCCTGTAATCCTAGCACTTTGGGAGGCTGAGGCAGGATTTTGAGCTCAGGAGTTCAAACCAGCCTGAGCGACATATCGCGAGCCAGTCTGCTGCAAAAAATAAAAATAAAATCAATTAAAAAAATAGTCAGGTGTTTTGGCGTTCCTGTAATCCCAGCTACTCCAGAAGCTGAGGCAGGAAGATCGCTTGAGCCCAGGAGTTGGAGAGTGCAATGAGCTATGATCACATCACTGCACTCAAGCCTGGGCGACACAGCAAGACACTGTCTGAAAAAAAAAAAAAAAGGCGGGGCGCGGTGGCTCAAGCCTGTAATCCTAACACTCTGGTGAGGCTGAGGCGGGCGGATCGCTCAAGGTCAGGCGTTCGAAACCAACCTGAGCCTGAGCAAGAGCGAGATGCCGTCTCCACAAAAAAATAGAAAGATATTAATTGGACAACTAAAAACATATAGAAAACAAAATTAGCCGGGCATTGTGGTGCATGCCCATGCCTGTAGTCCCAGCTACTCGGGAGGCTGAGGCAGAAGGAGTGCTTGAGCACAGGAGTTTGAGGTTGCTGTGAGCTAGGCTGACACTAGGGCACTCTAGCCTGGGCAACAGAGTGAGACTCGGTGTCAAAAAAAAAGTAGGATAAATTGTGCATGGTGACAAGCATGGGTCCCATTATTAGGATTTATTCCTATAATATTAAGGATATTAAAATATCCTGGAGCACCTGCAAGCACTTCTTGAAGGGGGAACCACAGACTTCAACCATATTCTGGGCCTTTTTTATTTGACACAGTAAGGAGCAAAAACTAACTCAGGAAAACAGTTCTAAGAAAAGAGAGGAGGAGGAGAAGAAAGTAGTAGTAGGGAAGGCGGGAACTCTCCAAGGTCCAGCACACGCTGGACCCGGGAATGCGCGCGCGCTTTTGGCGCCTGCAGAGCCGGCTTCTGCAAAGCGTGCTACTTGCAAGAAGCGCAGCAAACGTTGCAAGTGCCACGAAGTAAAGGAGGGGGACCCTGTAGCATAAGCATTCTTGTATGCACTGAGCACTTGGCAAATTTCTATATTTGCTCTCTGACCTGGGTTCATTACTAAAAATCTGAAGTCCTTGAAGCGTTCTCAAGAGGCACGTGGGGTTCCTTGCAGCGTGCATCTGAGCATCTGGACTGTTCTGCAAACCCGGCCCCAAACTCCCGCTCCTGGGTTGCACGGTGGACTCTGATTTAAAAAACCCAGAGCAAACAGCCTCCTAGCCAATCATTGCACAGTATTACTTGCACGATCTACACGTGGACTTTGGGCGCGAACTGTACAGACCCAGACAGTCCTATCCATTAGTCACTATATTCTAAGAGGGGAGAATCAAGCTCAGAGCCCAATGCAGGGTAGACTCACAACTTCACTTTAGAATGCTTGGGCTGCTGAGCGCTCCCCATTTTCCCTAACCTTCTCTTTTCTTTTGGGAAGCAAAAAACACCGCGCCACGCGCGGGCCGCGGAACATCCAGGGTTGGGCGGAGGAACACTATCTAGACACTTCTCCATGGGTTCCAGAAGCTAATGTGAGGTCTCATCCCCCTCCGCCCCCAAATCGGCGTTCACACTCCAGGACACCCCCATCCTCTGTCAAGGACTCTGCTTGAGTTGAGAGTAGTTAAACTGCAAATTGGAGCCACCGTTCCCCGCACAGTAATGCCCATTGCCAGCCACACTGTCGCACACACTCGCCCTATTTTCTTTACACGTCCTGGTCGCCTCAGCGCCCCCATCGGGTCCCACCCTCACGAACTAGATGTACAGTGAATGTTAATAGAGGGCGTGTTTTGGGCGCCAGCGCGTACGCTATACGGGTACGCACCGTACCCATATATAAGAGCGCACGTCCCAGACGGCGCCAGAAAGAGGTCCCGGCGCCTGGAGAGCGCACGGGCTAGCGGTTGGTCTCACTCTAGCTGGAGTCCGGGATCGGCCTTGCGGTTGGTCCCGCTCTAGCTGGAGCCCCGGGATCGCCGTCGCCGCGGACCTCAGCGCAGAGTCCGCAGAAGCGCACAGCTTCATCGACAGCACTTAAAGGCATGGAGTCCTATCACGGACTCAGCCCCTACGGCGTCAGCTGCCGCAGCCTGGGAGTCGGTCCCGACAGGGAAGAACTGCAAGGTCAGTGCCCGGGTGGGGACAGGTGTTTACGCAAACTCCAGGAGAAGAACTTTTCCTGGGAGACGCGAGTGGACGGGATGCCGCGCGGTCGCCGCCGCGGCTCTAACTTAGCGACCCCTCGCCTCCTGCCCGGGGCTCTAACACCCTGGCCTCTCTTTTGCTTTCCTCCCGTCCCAGAAGAGAAGCCTACCGTGGCCTCGATGATTGCGATGGGAGAAAACGAGGGTACGCGGTCCGAACCTGAGCGCGGAGCAGGAGCAGGAGCAGAAGACAACCCTGGCACCGAGGGGCCCGGCCCCGTGGACCGTGCTCATGGCAGCGTCCACGAGCCCGAGCAACAGCGGGTGGAGCCGAATCCCCGGGCCGCGGTGGGGCCAGCGCGCCCGGAGAGAAAGCCGCGTCGCTACCGCACCTCATTCACCCAGTTGCAGCTGCAGGAGCTGGAGAACGCTTTCCATCGAGTTCAATACCCCGACGTGACTGCACGGTAAGTGATTTGCTAGGGGGAGGGGGATTGGGTTCTTCCCTCGGGCGTCTTCAGACTCTCTCCCGGGACCCCTTCCCTCTATTCTAGAGCCAAAAGCCACGCACGAGGCTCAAGGGCGCCAAGCCCGCCCTTGCTCTTGGTGGGGGAAGGGGGCGCTGGAGGAGGCGGTGTTGTGGGGCGGGGGGAGCGGTGCTGTAAGGTGGGGGGGCGTGGGGGCGATACTGTGAGGTGGGAGGGCGGGGCTGTGAGGTGGGGGGTGCTGTGAGGTGGCGGTTGGTGCTGTGAGTGGAGGGGGGCTGTGGGTGGAAGTGTGGGTGCGGGGCTGTGATGAGGCGGGCTTATGGGGTGGAAGTGGCGGGCTGGGTGAGGTGCGGGGTTGGGTGTGAGGGTGCTGTGAGGGGCAGATCTGTGAGGTGGAGGCGGCCTGTGAGTGGGGGGCGGGCTTGTGAGGTGGGGTGGGCTGGTGAGGGCGGGGCGTGAGGTTGGGGGGGCTGTGGGTGGACGGGCTGTGAGGTGGAGGGTTGGTGCTGTGAGGGCGGGCTGTGAGGTGGGGTTCTGTGGGTGGAGGGTTGGTGCTGTGAGGGGGCGGCTGTGGAGTGGGAGGCGGGCTGTGAGTGGGGGTGCTGTGAGGTGGCGGTTGGTGCTGTGAGGTGGAAGGCGGGGCTGTGAGGTGGGGGGGCTTTGAGGTGGAGGCGGGGCTTGAGGGTGGGGGGGTGGGCTGTGAGGTGGGAGGGCAGAGCTGTGAGGTGGGCGGGGTGTGAGGTGGGGGCGGGCTGTGTGGTGGAGGGTGCTGTGAGGGCGGGTGTGAGGTGGGGGTTGGTGCTGTGAGGGGTGGGCTGTGGGGTGGGGACGGGCTGTGAGGTAGGAGGGCGGGGCTGTGGTGGGGGGTGCTGTGAGGGCGGGCTGGTGGGTGGGACGTGCTGTGAGGTGGGTGGGGCTGTGGGTCCGGGCGGCTGTGAGGGGAGGGCAGGTGTGTGAGGTGGCAGGGTGGGGCTGTGAGGTAGCAGCGTGGGGCTGTGAGGTGGGGCCGGGGCTGTGAGATGGGGTGGTGCTGTGAGGTGGGGGCGGGGCTGTGATGATGGGTGCTGTGAGGTAGGGGTGGGGCTGTGAGGTGGGGGCGGGGCTGTGAGATGGGTGGTGCTGTGAGGTGGGGCGGGGCTGTGAGATGGGGTGCTGTGAGGTGAGGTGGGCTGTGAGGTGGGGTGGTGCTGTGAGGTGCGGGCGGGCTGTGAGATGGGGTGCTGTGAGTGGGGCGGGCTGTGAGGTGAGGGTGGTGCTGTGGGTGGGGCGGGGCTATGAGATGGGGTGGTGCTGTGAGGTGTGGGCGGGGCTGTGAGATGGGTGCTGTGAGGTGGGGGGGCTGTGAGGTGAGGGTGGGGCTGTTGAGGTGGAGGGTGGTGCTGTGAGGTGGGGCGGGCTATTGAGATGGGTGGTGCTGTGAGTGTGGCGGGCTGTGAGATGGGGGTGCTGTGAGGTGGGGGCGGGGCTGTGAGATGGGGGTGGTGGCGTGAGGTGGGGGGGCGGTGTTTTAAGGTAGAGGTGAGACTAGGAGGTTAGCGACTGCTGCAGGGTAGGGTCCTGCTTTTATTTAAAACTTGGGTAATTTGTTCATCATGCATTTTTGCATTAATTTCGATATTTTTGAATATTGCATTAAAACATTATTTGTCTTGATTATACAGTTTCTTAGCTCCCTTTAAATTTTGCGCGCTAGGCGAGCGCCTTTCCCACCTCATCCTAGTAAAGGTCCTGCCACGTGGAGCACGCTTTTACAACCAGGCTGCGGAGTTTTGAGTTTTCCGAAGCCAGCGACTCCCTTCCCTTCGCTAGCCTGCCCTGGAACCCTTATGATCGCGATCCAGGTAGAATAAGAAGGGACAGGCCTATTCTGGCCCAGCTGGAATGGGGAACCAGGACAGGTTGGTGTGGAGTTTTGGGGCGCTCTTTCTGGCTTCGCTGTATTCAGGCTTCGCCCGCTAAAGAGTGGAAAAAGGAATTTCCCTAGGGTGCACTTGGCCAAAGTGGTTTGGAGTTCCCTCCTTGAAAGTTCACCTCTCCCTTTTACAATAAACAGAAATAACTCTGGTTCAAAATAGTGCTTTAAAGGTGTTTTGACGTTTTATTTATTTTCATGGAAGGACCGCCCAAGAAAAGATTACCAGGATGGTTCTCTTCTGTTCTACAAACTGAAAGATACAAATAATACTACCAGGCACTTTCACATATATTCCTTTTTTCTATCTTATTTTAACAGCTAAGTTGTCCATGGGAAAACCCTCCCCTAAAGCAAGCCTCAACTGTTTTACAGAAAACTGCACTGGGGGGAGATAGAAATAATGTACATCAGTGTATTTCATTTTATCTACAACTCCAAATGCCGAACATTTGCAATTTTCCCCCTCAGGGACCAGCTTGCAAGACGCCTGAATTTGACTGAAGCCAGAGTGCAGGTCAGTGAATCTTGAAAAAGCAATTTGACTGGGCAGCCATTCTAAAGCATGCTTCAGGTTTTAGTCCTGGACATTCTCAAGTTGGTGTGTTTTGTTGCCTTTTCCATGCTTGGCAAATAAGTTTTGAACACTGGGGTCCTTGGTAGTAGAAAATGGGATGAGTAGACTCCAGGTTATAGAAATTCCCCATGGCCAGAGGAAACATGATTTCCTAAAGGGAAAAAAAAATAGAACTTCTCTCCCTCCTTCCACATCTGTCTGGCACTCACTCTCTCTTTCTCTCCAAATATAAATATATATATACACACACACATACAGAGACATATGTGTCATATGTATATGCGCATATATACACATATACATATATATTCCAATAAATAACATTCATTTCCTTCTAACATTACTATCCCTTAGGGAGGATATTAGTTCTCCCTAAAGGATTACTTCTATATGGATTGGTGTTCAGGGCTCGATCTGACCTGGAAAGTATTCAAATACACAGAAGAGCTGGGTTTTATAACAAGGTTCAATTGTACTAAATTATTTAAAATATTTAAAACCAGGCATCAGTTCTTAGCTAAAGGAGTGAATTTATAAGTATTTAGATGTTGAGGTAAAGGAGTCATTCACACACACAACACAGTATGTAAGTACCTAATGTGTGTTTAGTTAAACTGAAGCTGATGAGGGGCAGGGCGATAGCTTACAGTCCAAGTGCTTGGTCCTCTTGCTGTTATTTTATTTTTGTAAAACAGTGTAGAGTGGCAGCCCTAAATTTTAATATTTTGGTATACTTTGGAAATAATTTTTTGGAAAATTTTAATTTTTTGATGTCAGCCTGCAAACACATCTATCTAAAATGTTGCAATTACAGTGGTGATGGGGAGAAGGTTTGTAAACTTTGGAAACTTGTCTTTTAAAAATGAAACAAAAATAGAAACAACACTTTTGAATAAAGTCTCACTGACCTAAGAGGGATAGAAAGGTTAGAGAAGAAATATATACAATCAAATATGCATTACACATGCCACACACATTCAGCTTTATGAAACTACCAAACACATCAGTGAATATTTTCTCTTTTTTTATGTGAATATTCTCTTGAAGAATTTCTAACATCAAAGATTTTTTTTTTCCTTTTTAGTGGTATTTTGAAAAGGTGGGTTTTCTGGAATTTGAGTGGTTGGGGGTTGCTCTCAATTTAGGCTAGATTCTTACCTGTGTTGATTTAAAATACTTTGTCATTTATTCTGGCAATGATGACTAATTTTGTAGGTCATGGGATCAAAAAGTGACTATTTCAGATTATAGAAAACCACAGCTGCGTCAAAGAAGTATTTTCCAAAAATAAAAAATTAGGATGGGCTTATTAGCTTTGCCCCATAATGGATATATGAGTGCAGTGATGGAAATGCACTGTATATCTGTTGGTAGTGTCCGGCAAAGCAGGCCACTAGAATGCTGGTGTCCTCATGCCACAGGCTGGACTCACAGTCAGTCCTAGCCTCATTTGGGATGACAAGTATCTGCTTTCTCAGGCAAGCACGGCAAACTCAGAGGAAAACAAAAACTTAAGGTTTGGTGAGTTGCTTTTCCTTCTCCCTAGGTTTACATAGCTTCTCAATGGATTTCTAGAAGGGAAAAAGAGCCAGAAAACACAAAGAAGGAAAAAGACAATATTCTCATCTCTTTCCAAACTCGATAGCATGAATCTCCCTTAAGGAAGCTTTAATAGACACTCCCTTCCTTTCTTTTGCAAATATAGTAGACCTGTTTTATGAAATCAGCATTGGGAATATGGGCCTAATATGTGCCCATACCAAACTTTGCCATCTGTTGGTTTTGATTATGTTTAAGGAGATTTGATCACTGGCACATTTGAATCCCTCCAAAATGAACTGTGTTACACTGGCCTTATTCAGACTCTATATTCATGCAGCAGAAGGACCCCAAATCTCCTAAGATGGGTGAAAGAAAACATACCTTGAAGCAGGGAAAAGAGGTCCTGTGTCTAAATTAAAATTTGCAGTTTGGGAGCTTCCAAAAGGATTAAATACAATGTACACCTCATTAGTTAGTATGCTAAGAAGGCAGTAAAGTCTAATTGACAGCTTGTTTGTTGGTGTGTTAAGAGTTAGCAAACACTTGGGGAGGAACCTTTTTTGTGACCCCATCATCCACATTGTTATTGAACATCTTCCTAAAATGTGGAGTTGGACCTTCCTACCTTAGAAATGAGTGATGGGATGGGGGGCTCTCTGGTTGGAGAGTGAGGCTGGCTGTGCCTAGGGTGCCCTGCCAGGCTGGGCAGCAGTAGCTTTGATACTGAATCCTGAAACTGTAGCTAGAGCTGGATGAGCTGACCGTGTCCTGAGCCCAGGAAGGTTTGGTGGGTAGGGCAGTGTGGAGCATGCAAAATTGACAATAAGGTGCCCAAAGTCTTGTCTAGGAAAAGGATTTTGAGAGTCTAGTGAATTTGGATGCAGTCAGGGCCAAACTTTCCTTGACACTAAAGGCTAAAATAACAAGGCAGTGTCTGAGGATTCAGCAACTCTCATGTCCCAGCAATACAAACCACAAAGTCCCTGGGACTCCCATGATGAGTCTCCTTGACATATCACCACCTGTTTAATTCTCAAGAAGCTTCAGAGGAGGGGTGAGTCCTTAAACATCCTTGAAGGAAATCTGTCTAAAAATCTAACATGCTCCTCTTTATTAATGACTTCAGACTGAAGATGGACTTTTCAAACAGGGAGTAGTTCCCTCAATATGACCTTAATTGGGCTCCCCTTTTTACATTGTGTTCATCCTCCCCGACAACCAAGGCGACACTATCCCTAAAGGGAAGGGGGCAGAAGCAGCTGGACAGCTGATGATCCAACATTTCTTTACCCGGTTACCAGGCTTGAACATTAACAGCAGGGACCTGGTGCAACACCAATACAGCTGGCCCTGCATCCAAGATCTAGAAAAAACCATTAAGGACTAGTAAAAGTGGGAGGAGAGAGACAAAGCAATGTGCCATACTCTGGACTAGGCTTAGCTCACTAAGGGTTAGCTGATGGGAGGACTTGAGCCATTTACTTCCCTAAGATATTCCGACAATAAGAAAATATCTTAACCTGTTGCAGTTTAAAATGTCAACAGCATATAGAGTTGCATGTTGTGTGCTTTTTCTGTTATGACATTGACTGTCCAGTATACTAAATTCATCCTTTTTCTCCCTCTGATGAAGGTTTGGTTTCAGAATAGAAGGGCCAAGTGGAGACGACATCAGAGGGCGCTAATGCTGAGAAATATGGCCCATGTTGCCATGGGCCCCCCAGTGGGGGTGATCTTGGATGGGCCCTATAATGCCATCCCTGTTCTGGAGTCTGCTTGGAGATGTGTTCATCTGGTGCCAAGGCCTATCATGCCACCTATGCCACCTGGGCCACCTATGCCGCCTGGGCCATCCATGATGCCTGGGCCATCCATGATGCCAGGGCCATCCATGATGCCAGGGCCACCCATGATGCCTGGGCCACCCATGATGCCACCCATGATGCCTATGCCCCCTGGGCCTCCCATTGGCCTGGCTCCTATAGGCGTGGCATGGGCCCCTGTCATCAATGGTCATTATGCAGGTCCCATTTTCTAAAGTATCTTCACGACAGTTTTTTCCAAAGTGTTTCTCTGCCAGATATAAATTGTGCACAGCACAGTAACAAAAGAATTCATAAGATACCTGTTAAATGAATTGAATAAGTAAACAAAGTCAGTGTCATGTTGTTTTTGTAAGACACATAATTTCGTTTTCAATAAAGGTGTGAACTAGCAGTGCATTGGTGTTGCGTGTCAAGTGGGGTATGGATGGGAATAGCTAAGGGAATGTAAGTAGAATGGTGAAGAGGCCCCTTTTGTTTTCATCAAGTAGTATCTCTAAGTCGCCATCAATAGGCCCTGTACATCACCAGTTCACCAAGTACCCATGGCAGGTTTATGCTGACCGGCACATTTCTTCCACATCAACCTCCCCAATCCCCAACCTCTCCCTGCCCTGCCCCTTGGGAGCACATACACACATGTGCAGGATGGGAAAGGGTGAGTCTCTAATGAGAGAACAGTCCATTTCCAGGCGGGGTTATGTTCCATTTATGCTAAGGAGCAGGCTAACCCCTGGACTCTTAAGGGAAACCTCCTAAGAGTCTACTCACAGAGACTTAAGGGGAGGTGGCAGTCAAACACCCCAGTACTCTCCGAATTTTGTTCACTGCCCCCCATTTTGTGGAGGAGATGGGGGAATAGGAATCATTCTGGTCCAGAGGTTCTGCCACTTCAAGGGAAACACAAGAGAGGACTCCATCAAAACCAGAAAGAAGCTCTTCTCTCTTTTCTCCAGCCCAGGAGAACCTATTACTGTAGCTTCCTCAGGAAGCAGACAATCACAACTTTGAGTGTGTGGTTTTTTTTTGTTTTTGTTTTTGTTTTTTTGCCTTCATCTTTGAGAAAATCCTAATTCCTGCTGATTAAACACAGAAAGGGAAACTTTAGGTTTAGTGCTGCTCACAAGAGATGGTCCCCTGAGCAATATTCCAGAATCTCTCATTGAAAAGAAGCAGTCAGACCTTTGCCATATTCATGTTGCCTTCTTCATGCAAATCTTCCTGGGTAGGAGACAAGGGTGGGGGGAGGCCAGGCCCACTGATTTTAAGACATTTAACTTTTTAGTAGCGCTTTTGCTTTTGAGCAATTTCTAGCAATTTGTGGTAATTTTATGAACACAGTCATACTATGAAATGATGGCAGTGGCTTCAGATAAGGGTGCTATGGTTATGCCACAATTTCCTCTCACAGGGAGTGAGCTGGAGGTGGGGTGTCAAAAGCAAGTTTCACAATAGTTATGTGCTCCCAGTTTGAAGGGAGACTCTGTTTTCTCCAGAAAGCATACTTTTTTTTTGTGGTGTTGTGTGATGCTTTTCATGCTTTTCTTCCTGCCTTCACACGTGTGGATGTCAAGCATGGCAAAGCAGCTGTATCTAATGTGAGACTTCTGCAGCAAGAAGGTTGTCACTAGCCCAGAGCCCCCAGTCCCTGACAGGACGAGAACACCCAGGAACGCACCTAGGCATGTCCATTGCCGCCTCACTGGGTATTTTCTGAACCCAGCAGTTTTTATTTCCCTTTCTTGACCCCTTTTTGTTAAGCACCAGGTTTCTAAATGCTTTAAGTCCTCTTGGAGGTACAGTGTCTGTGTCTGTACAAATAAGGGCTCCAGGATCCTATCTGGCCTTGCCACCCAGACACGCAAAGCCAAACAGCATCCAGCATGCAAATCCCACAGTTACCTCTGCCATCAAGTCCGACCCAGACAACACTTTTTCCATCTCAGGCTGCCTGGAAGAAGCAAAAAGGTGAGTACCGTGTTTCCCCGAAAATAAGACCTACCCATAAAATAAGCCCTAGCAGGATTTCTAAGCATTTGTGCAATATAAGCCCTACCCCGAAAATAAGACCTAGTGATGGGCGTGGCTACTCAACTCATCTGCACAACCCATGCATTTCGTCGCCGAGTGGTAAAGAAGACAAGGAGCCCTTCTCATCTGCCTCGTCGTGACAGCTACTATCTCAGAGGTGACCGGAAAGGTGCGGGCAGCCCCACCAACAAGGTCAGCTCCCCCTGTCAGGTCCTGGCCTTCCTGTGCGTGCTGCAAGCTGAGGCTTTGAGGGGAAAATAACACATCCCCTGAAAATAAGCTCTAGGGTGTCTTCTTGAGGAAAAATAAATATAAGACCCTGTCTTATTTTCGGGGAAACACGTTATCCTTTCCCATAAGGGGAAGGGGTCTTCAAGAGACATTTATACTATTTATTAAGTTATATCTACTTCTTCTAGGTGCCCGATGATTTAAGGAAGGATGCTGGGATGGGGATGGAGGAAATATGCAAAACATTCCTGCAGAGAAAAAGTTCCCTCAGTCTTGGTTTTAAAAGGGAGAGGTCTTCTAAAATCATCCCACAAACAGCATTTCTCTTAAAGTGCAGTTCAAGTTCCCTAAGACATGGATGAGAAATTATTCTAATGTAAGGAAATTAATTTCTTAAACTCTTTAGAACCGGCTATCAGCAAATATGTTTACCTGTGATAGGTGGTCTTTGCAGATGTTAGTTTTGGCTGGAAAGTGACAAACACAATCTCAGGAGGAGTGCAGGCACTTCAGCAGTTGACAGTAATGTAATCATTCTGGATTTGCTTGTGCTTTCTAAAGTTGTTACACATTGAAGAAGGCATGCAGGGGAGTTTTCACAACGGTAACTTTTATGGTCAAATTAAGCAGGGAGAAGGTATGAGCTATTTAGGGGGACAAAAAAAAGCCTTTTTTGCTTAAAACTAGATTACTATAACCTGGATCTTGTTTCAAATAGATGTGAACAGAACCTTGGAGATCTAGCTTAGAAGTGCCTACGAATCAAAATCCCAAGTCATCATTTAGACTATAAGTATTTAGAAAAATGGGCAAGGAAGGGAAGGACTAGAAATAATTCTTTAGCTGCGAATACAAGTGTCTCTCTTGAGATAGATTTGAAAGGTGACCTTTTAAAGAGAAGAGTTACGATAAACATATACAAAATAAGAGAACAGAGTTTGATCTGAGGTGTTTTCAAAAGAACAGGCATTTGCCTGCATTCTGATCATAGGGTGTTAAAACTGGGCATGCTCCAAGCATTTATGGATGTATTATTTTTCCACCCAATCATTTGGGGCTGACTACTCTAGGAATTGCTGGAAGCCTGAAGGTAAAATATGGTGCTTAAATAGAGTCCTTTACTACAATTTATGATTGGTAAATCCAACTTTGTCTAACTTGAATTCCTGTAGCCCAGGGCCTCCTATTGATGGAAGTGGGGGAGTTAGTACGAAGGGGTGCGTAGATCTTGGACTGGCGTTCTCAGACCTTGACACTCTGGAGGTGACAACATAACCCTCATCACATACCCTTCTTCCTGAGGGTGCTGCATGAAGCTGTTTTCTGGGGGATTCATCTAAGACTTTCCTAACACTCCCTTCCCATTAGTCAAGGCAGTAGGGTGACCCAAAGAGAATGAACATCTGCCTCAGACAGCTCCCCCCTTTCCCAGCAGACATTTTGAGGTACCTTCCCACAAGATCACCTTAAATTTGGCAAGTGAGACAAACATCCATGAGTCCTGCAGTAAAGGGATGGCGACCACAGAAAACCGGACCTCTTGTTTTATGCCACTCTTCCAAGCATTGGGCCTTTCTTCTTCTGGGGGACACTCTATTTAAAGGAAGAGACCATGGTATTGTTTCTGAATGGTCATCCGGTGACTCCCTTCATTTTACAGATGAGAGACACAGGCTCCGAGCAGTGGCAATGGCCTGCCTGAGGTCGCATGCAGAGTTCATCTCAGAGAAGGCCATGCTCTCCCCTGGCAGCCAGGATTGCCCAGCTAGGGGCAGCACACAGCAAGCAGCCCAGGCGCAGCTCCTCAGTGTCTGTCATCCCCAGCTGCCCATCTTTCCTTCAAGGGGCTGTAAACTCAGAGCTCCTCCCCAAGCCTCGGCACTGGGCCATTTTACCTCTAGGAAAAGTAAGCAACTTCCCGTGAAGGCATGCAGTACCCCGGTGTCCACTCTTGAACGCTGAACAGCAGGGGCTTGAGAGAGTGATGCAATTTGTACCCTCCTCACAAAAGGCCGAGTGTGCTTCCACTACAATAACCCTCATTTCCCCCAATCCCCTTGCAAAGCTGTGCTTGCCAACTGGCAGCACAACACATATGCAACAGCCAGCTCTGGGCTTGTGTTGAATTAACTTTTTTTGTAAAGTAGGCTAATAGTTTGGAAACTGTCATTATGCAATTTGTATTCATTTTGAAATGTGGTTATTTATGCTTTGCCTTGATCAATGTCACACTCTCTCCTTCTCAGATGTTAGCGCAGTGCTATGCGGCAGGGACCCAAGGTGCCATTGGTGTAAATTTAATTTTTAAATGCACCCCGATGGTCTGTATGCCTCCCCATGCGAAGTGTAGATCTTAAGGAGACTGTCTGGATTCCCAACATTTACATGCAAATATTTTTAGACTCTAGCAATACAAAAGACTCTTTCTGAAAGCACACTGTGTTGTGCTTCACAAACAAAAGGACACAAGTGATTGAAGAGGTGGCATACAGGCATGGGCAGCATAATTGATACACCTGGGCCCTTCTGAAACATAGCCCCCTGACAAAACTAGGGCCTCTATGAGAACCACAAAGTTGAAACATGATTTTCTATTCCAGGCCCAAGAATCTTGGTTTAGGGAATAAATAAGAGGCAGGGAAGAGACCAAGGAAGAGTCTCTGGGCAGTTCTCTTTGAACCTGGGAGACAAAGAGATGAAGCAGAAGATGTTTTAAAGTCAGGAGTGGAAAATCAGGCTGTGGCAACCCAAGGGAGAAATAAATCCAAGTTCATGGCTGGGCCCTGGACTGTTGGAGTCCGGGGAGCTGGGTGGTAAGTGGGCACTGGCAACTGAGTAGTGTCGCTGGGAGGTGGCCAGTGGGGCTCAAGGAGGTGGCTCTGGCCAGCTGGGCTTTACAAGAGAGGAGACAGGAAAAACAGAACTCAGGTTCATATGCAAATCAATTCCTAAGATCTTCTTCCCCAGTCCCCATCACAAGGTAGAGCAATGGGGCTGCCTTTCTCTTTTCCTCTCACCCCCTCCCTCCTTAACTCAACTGACCACATGAAGGGACCTCAGTAGGACTGAAATATTCATGAAGAAAGAGGGAAAGTCAGGATAGAGATGGGGTCCTACAATGTGATTGTCCCTGGCCA